AATGGAGATTAAGCGGTGTTTAAAAGTCCGTCTCTGCTGACCCCAAAATTACACTCACTGATGACCTGTGCCACTGCTTGTTTCTGCAAACCAGATTGAAAATGCAGGTGTAATGGCATTTAATGGAAAATCATTCTGCATTTACAGCAAGAATGTAAAGTCCTGGGCTGAGGCACTGCCTGGGCAATGTACTGCACTGTAAAATAAGGGCTTTTAAGTGGACAGAAAATCAATTTCCCTATACTACATTCTCAGCAGTGGCTGAAATGATTTTGCCGTTATTAAAAGATACACCCTGTTCCCCAGACAGACACTGAAAATGGAGAAACCAAGCCCCAAAAGTGATGTTTGGCAAGTAAAAAAAGTCTTAAAAAGGTCACCTGAACTACCAGCACTGCCACTTCAGTGCCTACCATGAGAACCACAGAGAAAATACTGCATGCTGAGAAACAGAAATCACCCCAAAGCCAAACTGCTACAGGCTGTTAGGATGAGTGCAAGGAGGAGAGGCACAGAAAGCATCCGCAGCATGGGTGCATTTTTATTCTGAGTTATCAGCTGTTTATGCATCAAGGTAAATCTTTCTTATGCATCAGTCTACAATGTTTGGAAAGAATCCATGAAGTCATGAAGACTTCAGCTCAGGCAGCCCTCTGTGACCATCAGCAAAAGCTTTAACACCTCTAAAGATTAGGAAATGAGCATGAGCCGTGGTCTGAGGTGAAAAGAACTAACTCCTGGACTAGAATGATGTCAACAGCTGAGAATTAGGGAGTGTGGCTGTATTGGTCTCAGCAACAACAGAGGCGGTCTATGCAATTACACGTGTACTTCATTTTTAAAAGGTTTCATCTCCCACAAGTGATGAAAACAATAACAAATCTGACTGGCAAGAACGCTGATGAAAATGAAAACTGCAGATTGTTTCAGAGACATTCATCAGACTACCAAAAAGTCATGTGTAACCACACCACACATCAGAAATATGGAATAGAGGAGCAGTGAAGGAAACAAAAATAAAAAATGTATTTATATTGCAATGAACTCCTTCAGAGCTGACAATGATGACCAAGCTGGTAGCAATCAGTATTTATACAGGACTTGGCTACTCTTGGCTACACTGCCAACATAACGAGGCAGTTATATGGCAAACACTTCGCTGAAAATTGGAGAAGTGTAGGAGAAATGTCAGCTCCTCTGCGGTGAGCACAGGGCAGAGCTATCTAGACAGTATTTTTAGAATGCACGTCACCTTTTTCTTAAATTTTAGTGAGGCAAAAAACATTTTTATCCTCTATAGGTGAAGCAAGATGCTTTCAGTCGCTTGGGGCAAAGCTACACAGCATCCAACATTCATGAAGCCTCCTCACATCCCTATAGCTCAATATGTAGGTATATATAATCTGCACATAAATTAAGTATTGGTTTGACACAGAATCATAGAACTATTCAGATTAGAAAAGACCTCTAAGATCCACAAGCCAAGCCCACCCCACCATGCCCACTGCCCACGTCCCTCAGTGTCACATCCCCACAGTTCTGGAACACTTCCAGGGATGCTGACCCCACCACCTCCCTGGGCAGCTGTGCCACTGCATCACCACTCTATAAGAGAAGAAATATTTCTTAATATCCAAACTGAACTGCCCCGGTGCAACTTGGGGCCATCATCACTTGCTCTATCACTGATTACCTGGGAGAGAATAACAACCCCTACCTTGCTTGGTCTCTTATCCGTAATACACCATTAACCTGGCTTCTCACTAGCATTTCTGAGATACGCAGTGACCCATCTCAGCATGGCTTTTGGGACACAATTCTGTTGATGGCCTGTGATTTCTGCAATAGGGAAAGGAAGAGGGAGCTTGCAATGGCCACAGTGGGCTGAGTGCCAACACAACCAATGTTTCCTCCTGACAGGGCCTCTGTGGCAGGCTGGAGTGCAGTAATAGCATCCGTAGTGGCAAAGAAGGCCAGAAGTTGTTCAGATGCTAAAGTAACGCATTCATAAATCATAATCATAAGCTGTGTGTGAAAATGGGCAAGGACTGGTGAGGTCTGATAATATCAGGTTACTTGGAAGAACACACAGGCTGACTGAAAATTCATAGGTCTTGCATTAGGATGACCTCAGAAAAGTGGGATTTTCATAGGATTATAAAATGGTTGGGTTGGAAAGGACCTTAGCATCCACTGAGCCTCACACCCTGCCACAGGCTGAGTGCCCCCCACCAGCTCAGGTCTTGAACAACGTGTGCTGTTTTCATCCTGAGTCTACATACAACCAGGTGTGCTGGAAAAGCATGATGAGGATGGAATGGCCTGAAGAAGAGCCTTCATTTCTAAAAGTGCAACGGACCACGAGCCATCAGACTGCTGCTGCTGAGGATCACGATTTCTGCCTTCAAAAAACCCCTATTTAAGCAAAGTGTGCTTTGCATGTGGACATGGAAAACACACAACCTCAGTATCAGAGCAAATGGTTCAATACTGATTCAACATATAACAAGACTTAGCTTGAAGGCATAAGGAAAAACACAGATGCAGAGAGGTTAAAGGAGGAACCCATCATGCTGGTGAAATGGGAAGGTCAGCCTATACTCAGAAACAGCTTCATATACGTGGAAATCTAGAACATCCTGGGGAAGGAATTTCATAGAATCACAAAACCGTTCATGTGCAAAAGATTTTGATGATCAAGTCAACCCATTACCGCTGTGCTCGCTCACAGAATCATAAAAGCTGGAAAACCTACAACCCTCAAGTCCAACCCCAGCCCACCATGCCCACATCCCTCTGAGCCATATCCCCACAGTTCTGGAACACCTCCAGGGATGGTGACCCCACCACCTCCCTGGGCAGCTGTGCCACTGCATCACTGCTCTTTATGAAAAGAAATACTTCCCAACACCCAACTTGAACCTTGCAATTTAAGGCCATTACTTCTCATCTTAAATTTCAAACAGATCCTTTAAAACACAAGCATTTCCATTGCTTTTAGTGCAGGCAGCAGCCTGTGCCCAGTAGTTTTGAATGGGCTTTCCCTCAAAACCTGTATTTGCCTCTTGTCAGCTGGAGACTGATTGAATGAGTGCTGTGCCACTGCCTACACAGCCCCTTCCTGCAGAGCCTGTGCTCAGCTCAGCAGAAAAACAGCTCCGATTGCAACATGGTAGAGTTGCAAGGTCTGGATGAAATGGTACAGTGCATCAATTTCCAGTGATTCTCAACAACTGCACGTGCAACAGACTGTTTTAGCCTCTATGTGAGTGCAGGCAGAGTACATCCAGGGCTCAGGGCTCAGCAAGGAGCAGTGTCACCGCTTGCCTCGAGCAGCTGCAGACACATGCAGCAGCTTTAAGTTCCCCCTTGCTATGAGTGCTGCAACATGCTCCTCATGTGAAATCCATGCAAAACTCACGCACAAAATCTTCTGTTGTAAAGTTTCAATTCATAACCCATCTTTCCATGCACCTGAATGCCCACCATGCACGAAGTCAGATTTAGGTGCTTGGGATCACAGCCAATAGCTCCCATGACTGTAACATCTACAGTCATATAACATAACTTGTGACATACAGTCACATAACATAACTTGTTATGTGGATAGTATGGCATAAAGCAGAGGATACACCAACCTAAAAAAAAATAGGGAAAAGGGACATTTTTGGTGTTGCAGATTGCTTGCTAAGTTGTATGTGACACTTGGGAAACAGCTTCCTCCTGAGTCACGAGCACGAACAGGAACTCAGAAAAGCTGAGATATTTCAACCAAATCTTTAACAGGAAGAAACTAAATGACATAACCCAAACAGAGTTCTTTTTAATTCTTTTTTTTTTTTTCTTCTTTTTTTTTTTCCCCCTTTGCATTTGTTGTGGGCTGGTGGCAGCAAAGCACTTGGTGAAGGTGCTGCTGTCATCAGTGTTAATTACAGAAGCTGCCAGCAAAGCAGGCATGTGGTCTCCAATGCTCTGCTGTCAGACATTCCTCCAGACTGAAAGATAATGCACTGAATTCTAGGCAGGGAACAGTGCTTTATTTCATTGAATCACAGCATCATTAAGCATCATCATTAAGGTTAGGAGAGACTTCTAACACCTCATTTTTTCCCCTTTTTTTCCCCTTTTTGCTACAGCTAACTCAGGTTGTGATCTGCTGCAGAGACCTGAGAGCACAATAATCTCAGAAGGTGACACACACAAGCTACAGAAAATCCTTCTCCTTTTCCCTCAGTATGACTCTCAGTAGAAAGGGTACACCAGGAACATCCAGCATGGAAGAACTTACAGGAAAATCAAATGTTGAACGCTGTTTTTTTAGTAGATAGAAGCCATAAAAGTCTGGGCAGATTGATAGTGCAATGAGACAGTTTTATTTGGGGTTGGAACTAGATGGTCCTTTAAGGTCCTTCCCAAATTAAGCCATCCTGTGATTCTATTTGCACCAGCGTGCAAAACCAGGTCTATGTACTGCTCAAGTTGCACTTCAGTCAGCTGAAGTTTTGCAGCTGGCCGTAGAAACAAGACTAAGTTACACATGGTTTATTTCCAGACTCCATAAGCACAGACTACATTAGTACAGTGGAGCTCCGAAACAGCCCCAGACGTACAAATGAGGTGTAGCACACAACACTGAGCTCACTGCACTTCTTGTTCGTGGAGTGCATTACAACAACAAACTGCAAGTTGCCCCAAAACCATAGTGAAAAGATGATAAAAGCATCTGGAAGTGAGGTATTTACACTTAAAGTTTCAGGATGATTTAAAAGAATGTGAAACCAAAGTGTTTTGGTTTTACAAGCACTGCACCGCATCCAAAAAAGCTGTGCTTTTATTGTCAGTCTCAAAAGGCGACAGCTGAGAAACTGTTTCCCATCAGGGCCAAAGAAAAGATATCTGTGTCTCACTGCCCATCATCACAGAGCCAAAAAAGCACCCACTCCATCCCCTACAGTGCAAATCCACAGCAGCAGCTGCCCGCTGGAGCAGCATCCCCTTACCTTCCAGTGGAATTGCACGGAGCTGCTCCATGAACATTATTTCTTCTGCTTAAAATCTGCAATCTCGTGGCTTCCTCCAGCCTTCTGCTTATGCACAGATGTACAGACAATAATGCAGGAGGGTTGTTTTAAATTTTTTCCTCTGTGCTCCTGATTGGCTCAGCGCAATGCCCATGTGGGTCTACAAATGCGAGGTTTCTACCCTTTTTAAAATCAAAGTGTCAGTTTTGCTGCTGTCAGAGCACTTTATTTTTGTACATATAAGGAAGTGGCTGTTGATGTTATCTGAATGTGCTTCCTGTTTTATATGTATATGAGCAAAAATAATGGCACGTTAAGCTGAGCAGCAGTTTCAGAGAGCTCAAGTTGGAGCCTCCGAGCAAAACGCAATAATGGGAGCACACCTCATCTGCTCGCTGTCTACCACGGTTTGCACTCACTTCACTGATTCCCATCAGAGATCTGTGCTCTCCCAACAACACCCCTCCTCCCCTTGCAATAAGCTGCATGAGCATCACTTCCTAATGAGGTTCTGGGATGCTTCCAATCGCAAAGGGCTCACCATACCTCAACTACTGCACAGGTAATAAAGCAGCCAGGCAATGCCACCAGAGCACTCTGTCTGAATTTGGGCTATTAGTGTGGTTTTTTTAAACCAGGAAGGAGTCCTCCAAGTGTTTCATGTAAGCATCCAGGAAGTGGCCGTGTAGGAGTGCTGCGTTCCAGAGCTGATGCTGCGGAGCAAAACACGATGGGAACCTAATTGGAATTTAATGTCTTTTTGGTTATTTCAAAGCAGGGCAAACAAATGTATGACTAAAAACTTGCTTCTGGGCAGAAATTCTTCCATTCTACCTCTGGGATATTAAATGCAAGTTATTTTTTATATATATAGCAATACAATTAAACTGCAGGTTTTGCTAAATGAAACTGAAAGAAAAAAGACTTCCAGATGCATGCAGAAGGTGAAACCTATGAGCTGAAAGCTATGGAATAAAACAACACCAAGAGCACAACAATCACAGAAGGGCTTGGGTTGGAAGGGACTTCAAGGATCATGAAGCTCCAACCCCCCCACTGCAGGCAGGGCCACCAAACTCCACATTTAATACTAGACCAGGCTGCCCAAGCCTTGTTTCCAAACCTAAGTATCAAAGGTGCATCCAGCCCCAGACCCTGCTCTGACCACCACTGCATGGCATACACAGCATCCCAGCTCCCCCCTCATAGCCTGGAAGGAAAACCAGCACTGAAATTCTGGGGTGGGTGGAAAGCTGGTCTATGTTCTAATGGTTTGTATTTTTAAAGATACCATTTGTAATGAAGTTATCTTTATATTCTGGACTATCACTACATGTTTTTGAAACCTCCCATGAAACACACAGGTACTGGAGGTCTCATGGAAGAGCTGTCAGGTTGAATAATAGGAAACATTTCTTTTCTGAAGGAGTGGTGATGCAGTGGCACAGCTGCCCAGGGAGGTGGTGGGGTCACCAAACCTGGAGGTGTTCCAGAACCCTGGGGATGTGGCACTGAGGGATGTGGTCAGTGGGAATGGTAGGGTGGGTTGGGGTTAGACTAGAGGATCTTGGAGTTCTTTTCCAACCAGAATAGTTCTGGGATTCTATGAACAAGGTACCCTGCATTGTCTGAGAGCATCCAAAGGAGCAGGGCCATGTCAACGCACAGCTGCTCGGTGGCAATGAGATGAGAGAGAGTAGAGGAAGATCACAGAGAAAGTAAACATGCCCTGCAAAACAAAAGGTACAGAGGTCACTAGCAAAGCCAAAAGTGCCCAGGGGAAGCCCCTGTTGTTGCTGACTTCCTACTGCTTGTCACTGACACAGTAGCAGAAAAAGTCACCAAAAATGGTAAATTTGTCAGGATGGCTGAATTTGTCCCTGTGCAGAGAAACAAAGGAATAACATGTGGCCAGGCAATATGAATCTTTTTTCACACTGTGCCATAAGAGGGAGCTTACTAAGAGCCCACACTCTCATAAAAAAGCCTTTGAAAGAAGAAAGTACCAGAGAACGAACTTGTTTATGACTTCAAATGTTCTTTTGTGTAACATAAGCTTGAAAAATGTTATTTTTGTATGGAAATTCTGACTTCTGGTTGAGCAAAGTACAGGTTTTTGTGTTTTAATAAAGAAAATCTTCAGAGAGAAATCTCTATAAGAATTTCACACACCATGGCACAGTAATATTAAGCTTCATAAAAAGGGGAACCATACTGAAACACGGAAACGACCTACAAAGAAATTAAGCAGTGCATCTAAAAGGACAAAGCAAAAGCCAATGGCAAAGGCATCACTTAAATTAACCATAATAGCTTCCTGGAGAAAATGTTTATCAAATGTGACTCCAGAGTTTGAAATATGCTTGTCTGGTTTAGCACCAGGGTGAAGGAGATTACTGCAGGGTGCCTGAGGAAGCATGCTCAACCCACACCATTCAACATACACAAAATGAAAATTGGGCACACACAGCTTGTTGGCATAAAATGTTCTTCTGCGGCACAGACTGAACTGCAGAGAACTGCAAAAGGAGCTCAGAGCACCGTGGGAAGAGGCAGTGAAATAAGGGATAATTCTGAAAGGATAAAAGGCAAACTAAGGGCCAAAGAACGGAGCCCACATGATGAGCTCAGAAATTTACTTTGCTGTTAAGGAATAGACTTAACAGACATGTAACACCAACAACACTGATTCATGGAATCGTTCAGGCTGGAAAAGACATCTCTGATCCCCAAGTCCAACCCCAGCCCACCCCACCATCCCTCAGTGCCACGTCCCCATGGTTCTGGAACACCTCCAGGGATGGTGACCCCACCACCTCCCTGGGCAGCTGTGCCACTGCATCACTGCTCTTTCAGAGAAAAATATTTCCTAATATCCGGTCTGACACGGACAGTCTTTAGAAAACGGCCCATAAGAACCTAACAAGGTTCAACAAGGCCAAGTGCAAGGTGCTGCACTTGGTTTGGGGCAATCTGAGGTACATGTACAGCTGTGAATCGCTCCATCCATGGAGGAGCCCAAGGTCAGGCTGGATGGGGTCATGGGCAGATGCCAGCCCACAGCAGGGGCTGCACCTGAATGGTCTTTAAGGTCCCTTCCAACCCAACCATTCTGTAATTCTATGATGTACTGCCTCATATTGCTTTTCCACCTGTTCCCTGAACAGAAGTCCAGCACTTTCAGTCAGAACAGGATTTATAGGACTTACACTGAGCTGTAAATACAGAGACTCTGCTTCCATTTTCACTCTTGCAGTGCCCTGCTGGCACAGGGGCAACTCAGGCTGCACCGAGCTCTGCTGGGCCTGGCAGCAGCTCCACACATCTGCAGCCCCAACAATTCATCGCACAGAAATGCCCTCCCTGCTCCAGCACAGTGGTACAGAGAGTTTCTTAACAGGAAGCTCAAGGAGAACATCATTTCCGCTCAGAACCTGTGAATGCCTTTGTGTGACACTAAAAGGTTAGTTCATTAACAATTAAGAGCTGCTCAAACAAAGGAAAACAAACCTCAGGGGAACAGAAGGAAAATATTCGGTGACACCACTGACCATAGCCACACTTTTAATAATGAAGTTGGCTTCGAGTGCATTAAAGCATTGTGATTCCTAGAAAGAAGAATAATCAGTATCTGGCCACAAAAGAAGTGCAAAATTCCCTTTTTTATTTGTATTGGAACTGCTAACTTCAAATCTTCTGCTTTTGAGCTCTGGGTAACTTTTGCCACCTTTTTCAGCCTATAGATTCCCTTCCTTCTTCCTCTGGTTCCCAAACCACACGGGCTTCTGTTTGCTCTGACAGCAGTAATGTAGAACATTTACATAAAAGACATGCACATATTGATAGGCAAACAATCTCTCTGTAAAATTTTTGCACTTCCTTGCAAGTTTTTTACATAACATCCCATTTTGAGGCTTTGTTAGGAATGAAAGTATTTTAGCCAGACTACTCATACTTTCTCTTTCAAAGGATTAATGTGGAGTCAAGTCTTACTTCTAAACTTTTAATAATGCCTATTTTTGTATTGTTTTAAATGCTCACAATTCTATCTCACAATTTCCTTTGGTTTTGTTTACTTGCACTACATGGGAAACCCCAAACACGGTCGGGTCCACACAACCCCAGCTGACTCAAATGCTATGTTGCATGGCTCCAGTAGTGTCACAAAACTGCTTACGTGCCTCCGCTGCTGCAATGGAAATAAGCTTTTCATTTTGTTGCATTTCAGCCAGGAAATTCTGTGCATGACTGAGTAGAAAAGGAAAGGATTAGATTAAAGGGTAAAGCAGCTGTAACAGCAGCAGCTACACTGAAAGACACAGGAGTACTCACAAGAGAAAGGTGCAGCCTCTGCTTAAAAGAAAGAGCAAAGGATTTCTAGTAAATGTATATCACATCCTCAAATTTTATTTTATATATACATATTTTTTTTAATTAATTCAGCATTTAAGCAGATACTTGACCCGAATTCTGAAGGAGGAATGAAGATTCAGACACTGATCAAATGAATGGGTTCTGGAATTAGACGTGGGCAAAGGAAACTGCAATGTGTTACTAATACATGATGCAACCACTGACAGTATCCAGCCAGACACCGTGTCAAGATACCAGGATTGAAAAGGGAGTGGAATGCATTATTTCCTCTGCGTGTTCTGCCCTAACATCAAAGACATTCTTCTGCAGAACGTTCAGAATTTAGGTACTCTTGAAACATTGCTGAACTTTACTGTATTATTTAAAAGCGACTGACGTTTGAAAGTGATTAAATACTCAACTGTACAGAATACCTAAATATTGTTGAGTTTGTGAGGGAAAGAAGTCCAATGCAGGGAAATGGAGCCCAGACCCACAGCCCCATCAGTCTCCATAACAAGCTGAAATCTCAGAGCTTCTGTGCTCACTCCTAGTCAATGCTACAACGCAATATTGCTGAGAGAGGCCACAATCAGAAGGTGCAGTGGTCTCAGGAAAGAAGGGTTAGAGTTAGGCCTAGGGCTCACTATACAGGGTTTAATACAGGGCCCAGGGTAAAGAGAAAACCTGGAAAAAAATAGTGCTGCAGTATGCTTGTATCAAGGACACTTAATTGGAAATACTTTTTCTTTGGTTTCAAGTTATGCTACACTTATGACACAAATTCAAGTCAGGAGCACAAGCTGTAAACGAGACTTTAGGCTCCTGTAACATCCTGTCTTTATATGGCAACAGATGGGATTGGCAAAAAGCTGAAAGTCCTTCACAGAGCCCATGATATCATCTCTCCTGAACAGGAAAATTACCTTTCCTTTTCCACCTGCTTTTCTTCCCGTCCTTGTTTGTGCACCCATCACTGCTGCTGCTGCTGCTGCTGTTCTCAGAGCTCTGTGAGTCAGACTGCGCATCGCTGCTTTCCTCTGAGCCATCTGAGAGCTCCTTCAGCCCATCCGGAACGTCCTTCTGCAAATGGAGCCAGCAGGTCAGTAAACCCATGTAGCAAGAAATTCCTCACTTAATAAAATATTTTTCCTTCATTTTCCTTCAGTTTCCTTCATTTAGCCAGTGCTAAAAAGTCGCCGACTTTTTATGCTGCAGAGATGTGTGAGATGTGTCAGAACAGCTCAGCTTCAGGCCTTTCAGTGCTTTCTGCTAGCCCACATAAAACACAGGCCTGCTGGTGTGGATCTTGCACTTCCTTGTCACCATCTCACATCTTCCTACCTGCATACCCACTGTAGTTGCCTATCCCCAGTCACCACTCTGTAACATACCACAATGACCTGCAATGCACTACAACA